TCTCTCCCTCTCTCCTTCTCTCTCTCTCTCTCTCTCTCTCTCTCTCTCTCTCTCTCACACACACACACACACACCATAGACAACACATAAGTAAAAGTAAAAATACATCTTTAAAAAAGGGTGGATAGATCCCGAGGAACAATAAAGTTGGTCTTTGATCTTTACATGCACACACATGTACACACACATGCACACACACAAAAGCATGCACATGCACACATACAAGTATGCTGAAATATCAAATATAACCAAGAAAATAATCACTTCAGGGGTAATATGATTTTAAATTAACCACCTCAACAACCCTAGAATGTATAGATTAAAGAGATTTATTTTTCATACTGTTTGTGGTACTCAAAGGATATGTGTAAAATCACTCTCTTCATTTTATGGGTGGTAAAAATGTGCCATGAAAAATATAAGAAAAAACTTTTTAAAAAAATCGAAGTTCATCAAGCAGAATACTCACTGATTTTTACAAAAAGAATAAAAGTAAAACATACATCATACTGTTAAGAAAAGAATTCCTGTGACAGGTACATGTCCAGTAAATCTCATCTTAAGGCCAGTTACACGTGTTAATTTTTGTTACAGGTGTGGCACCATGTTCCATATCTGGGTTACATCCTGAAGATGCCAAAGTCAGTCCTCTGGATGGGGGCATTGAGGGCTGCACTGAGGCTGAGCCCCAGAACCAGCCTGGTGTCCACGGGGTCAATAATCCCGTCATCCCACAATCTGTGAAAAGATGAAAACTGTCACTGAGCGTGCCATCAAGCAACCATCCCTCCACGCCATGCCCAGAATCACCTAGAGGACCAACCACAGTAAAGAGAGCTCTGGACTAGTGCCTGTGTATGCAAGTGGCTAACAGAGGTCATATTTGAGTGAGTGGAACAAAGAAAAGAACATTAGTGCTCCCACCCAAAGAAAAGAACAGCAGTGCTCCCACCCAAAGAAAAGAACATCAGTGCTCCCACCCAAAGAAAACATCAGTGCTCCCACACAAAGAAAACATCAGTGCTCCCACACAAAGAAAAGAACAGCAGTGCTCCCACCCAAAGAAAAAAACAGCAGTGCTCCCACCAAAGAAAAGAACGGCTGTGCTCCCCATTGCCCCGCCCTCTGACCCAGGCTGCCACATGGATCGATGTGGAGCTTCAGGCTTTAGGAAAGACTTCATGCTTCCTTGCTCCTCACAGAAGTGTAGCAATCGCCTCAATCTGCTTTGTCATTAGCATGGAGAGACCCATAAACCCAGTTAAAAATCCAACACTGCTAAAGGCTACTACCTGGAACTGTGCAAGCCAGCAATCACTGTGTAAGCCTCACTACATTTTATTAATAAAATAAGAAACGTAATTCTTAAAATAAGAAACGTATTCTTTGCTACAGTAGAAAAAAAATAACAACAACAACCTTAAACTGCTTTGAAGAGAAAGTAGAGATTTTAGTTTGTTCTCACTGACATCCTGAAATTTATATATTAAAAAAAATGAATGAGAAATAACACAGTTTTGTAGTTGCTTGTTCAGTTTTTTAAAAGCTAGGTTTCACTCTATAGGCTAACTTTGCCTGGAACCTGTGCTGATCCTCCTGCCTCAGCCTTCTGCAGATGTGAACCACCTTGTCAGATGAGGAATGCCTGTTCTTTTGGGGTTAATTATAGTAAATGGCAGTTTTGCCGTCTTTACTGAAAGTGCTTCTAGCATCTGGATGTCACATCAATTATTAAATGGTTTTCACATTGGCAGACAGGAATCACATCTTTGCTCATAAAACATTTATCACAGGGACCCTAAACGACCAGTGGCCAACCAACAGGAGGTTGTTCTTGGAACTGTGAACAGGTGGATTGATTATCTCTTGAGAGCCCGTGAGCAACAGAATCCCCCAAGCAATGCTGGAAGGGTTAGTTAGTGACAGCCACTAAAGGCTATCCAAGGAAGAGGGTCAATTCAATGCCTGAGTGCAGCTCCTGAGCAGAGGTCCGTGTGTGCCACAAAGGATTTAGGGAACAGGAACTGGGACTGAGAACAAAAGCACTGGGCTAGCAGGTGTGAGGCTTGAGCCCCAGAACAAGAGGCAATGAGACAGAGCTTCCAGTATCAGGAGATACTCCAGAAAGCTGGCTTCTACCATGTTCATGCCTAATGAAGCCAGAGAACAATGGCTAAGATGAGATTTACCAAAACCAGGACTCTAAGCCAGCTTGCGAATCTTTTCATCTTTAGGAAAAGGTGGCCATGTCCAGGCCAGCAACTGTTTCAACGGTAGGATTAAACACACACAGATTCATAGAGACACCTTCCTGTCTTTCAACATTTATTTGTAAAGATCCATCTATCCAGCCATGCTCACTGAGGTCGCTCACTGAGGGTGCTCACTGAGGTCTCAAATGTAACCATTAACACGCATTAACATAACAATGTAACAAGCATTAGTATAACAATCATAAAGGATTCAATCTTTCCCAAGACATGACTCATCTTGGGCATAAAATAAACCTAAATTCACGGCTCATCTAAAATTTTCCATTTCCCAAGTTGAATATTTCAATTGTCCCTGAGCATTTCAGCCAAAACCTCATCCATGTGAAGAACCATCAGTGGGCTTATACAGCCACTTTGTATTGATTTTACATCTCTTCCACGGTCCTCCGGGAGTCCCCTGCCTCCACTGGCTGCTGTTACTGAGTGTCTGTTTGCATTATGGCACAGTGAGGTACAATCTTGCTGCTCGGACCAAAGATGATAAACTAAATTGTTGTTAATTAAATGAACCAATGACCCACCTAAATATAATTGTAAATCTGTTTGGGCAGGGAGAGGCGGGAAACACAATTAGCATAAAGACAAATAGGAGTTTTGAAAATTTACAAATGTGTTCAGGACGCAGCTCAGATGGGGGAAGGTTCATCTACCATGTTGGGTTCAACCCCATCCCAGCACTGCCTACTGTGGTGGTGACACAGAAGCCTGAATCCTGGAATTCCAGAGGTAGGGGGATCAGGAGTTCAAGATCATCTTTAAACTTAGCCAGTCCTTAGCCAGTCTGGGTAATCATGAGACCCAGGTGCCAACCAACAAGAATCTCAAATGTTATTATCCAAACTCAAACTGATGATCAATACGCCTTCGTCTTTGCACACTCCTGCCAAGAGCAACACTGGCCACGGGGAGGAATTCCAGCCCCTGAAATGGATTCTAACTTTCTTATTTTCTTCTGCCCTTCTCTCCAGTTTGCCTTTACCCGTAAAGGGCACGATCCAAGGCATAACTTAATTTTAGAAGACACTAGTATTTATTCTTTTCTCTATCTGCCCAAGGGAAGAAAGAAGGCATGGCTTAGATTTGTCTTCATAATACTGAGCAGTACAGCTATTGGAAAAACCATTTGAAAGCACGTACCAAGCGGTCTCCAGCTGGGACGGGCAGGGAGAATGGATTACCTCATTATGATTATGCTTCACAGAAAACAAACAGTCAGCGGCAGCAGTGGTGTCTGAGGTAATTACTTGGCATTGACATGTGGGCCCTGGCTGTGACTAATCACCTTCAGATTATGCAAGCACACTTGTTAACCAGTGTCAATACGTGATCGACCAATCAATCTTGTACTTAAAACAGGGGAGCAACCAAACAATCAGAAGGGGTGAGGGTGGAACACAGAAATCTATGTGCTTAGGCAAAGATTAGGATCAACTCCTGAATGTGTAACACCCAGGATTAGAACTCTTATCTTCTACTGCTGACATGGCCCACCTCTGGCTACAGCTATCCCTACCATGCTGGAGATACCCTAACTGGGGTGGGACGTGGGAGCAATGTAGGAGCTACTGTGCAAGGAAGCCTGGGAGCAGTGCGGCAGCTTAGCATAAACAAATGGTTGTATAAAAGTAACCTTTTGTCCAGGCAGTAACAAGGTCTTTCTATGTAGCTCAGGCTAACCTCAAACCTCAATCCTCCTGCCACAGATGTACAAAGGGCGGGAAATCAGGCTTACTCCATCATACCCAGCCAGACACTACATTTGTGTCCTACAAAGCCCAACCATCCCGAGAGCTGTGAAGCTGAGACTGAGGGGCTGAGAGAAACCCTGTTCCCACCTTGCACTGGAGTAGTAAGGACTCCCTTCCTCTTCGAACCTCTTAATGATGGGCTCTTTCAGAGCTGCCTCCTCTGCACTGGAGAACTGAAAGAAAAGAGACAGTCAGTCAGGTTCGCTGGGACCGATTCCTCTAGCTAACTTCAGAAAGACATACCCTGGGAACAATGATGGCGCAACTAGCATTTGCACAGTGACAGATCGCAGAGGATGTTTTAACATACATGGCCTTGCCTGGGATGCAGGTCATCGAAGGCAACACACTGAGGCCATGTAACGCAAAGCCAAAACCGAGGGTGTCACACGTCACTGTGTTCACACCTCACTGTGTTCCGGCAGGATACGATAGTAGATGTGAGTGCCACCATAGAACTAAAAAGCATTCAACAATCTCCCGTTACAAAGGTGGAGAAGGCCACGCACAGTGGCGCACACCCTTAATCCTACCTCTTTATAGGAGAATTTATCTTCAACTCTGAAGTATTCCAGAGCTCTGGATACAGGGTTGCACTTGCCTAGCCTTTGGGAGACCTTGGCTTCAACCCCCAGTGCCAAAATAAATAAGTAAATAATCAGGTATACTAGAAACAAATGACTTACTTCAAGTCAACCTTCCCCTCTCTCATGCACATACTTGAGTCAATAAGCACTGGAGGGAGAACCAGAGATGCTACATTTGCATATATGAAAAAGGATGATTTAAATATCTATACATCAAATGAACCAAAGAATGGTTACTCAAAAGGGGGCTACTTTTGTTTCATAAAGTTCAAACACACCTTCAAAACATCAGATAGACAGACTCTACCACCTACATTGCCAACAGCATCCTCTTCTGCTGTCTTCCACTCAGACACACACACACAGAGCAAAGCTACTATTTTGCTTCAATACTGGCTGACATTAGAGTGAATCTAAAACATCAACCTAACTGTACAGAGTGCCTGCTGCCAGGTAGAGACAAAGAGGCAGGCTGGAGAGATGATCAGTGGTAAAGGCTGCTGCACTGAAACCACGAGGACCTGAGTTCAGATTCCTAGGATCCACGTAAAAACTGGACATGTAGCACAAGCTGTAATCCCAGCGCTGGCATGGGGAAATGGGAGACAGAGACGGGAGAATCCCTGGAAGTTCACAAGAGAGATAGCTTAGTGTATACAACAGAGAAACAACAGAGAGACCTCGCCTCAGATCAGGCAGAAGGTGAGGCCCAATACCAGAGATTGTCCTCTGACCCCCACGCAGCCCCATGCAGTGGCATCTTCACACATGAATGTACACACACAGACACAAGTGACTTAGTGTCATCCCAGCTCTGTGGACCCCATGGGTGGCCACGTGATCCTTGCTGGCAGGGCAAAGCCACCTCACAGCAAGGAGGTATCCAACCATCTTTCCTATGATGAGACCATGATACACATAAGCTATCACAGAAGCACACAGCTGACATTCCAGGACCTGCCGCTTAAACTGAACCCTTAAACGTCATAACTAAACATTCATACTGAACTTCCGAAGAGTCTAACAGAGACACAAAGAATCCCTCGTAAGAGAAGCCACTCCAGTTTGCCTTCCAGAAACACACTTACACTCTTTTCTGTCCATTTTTCCAAAGTTATACTCTCAAAGAATACCAAAGCTATTCACACCTCAGTAGGTGACTGAATCTCTGTCAAGGGACCCTTAACAACAACATAAAACAAAAACAGAAACTAAGGTCTGCTGCTTTGGGCCAAAAAGGAGTAAATTGGATTTCCTTAGATCTCACTAATAGCAAAAGAGTAAGAACCCAGCGTGTCTGTCTGGTGTTGGGAATTTCCGGGGCTGCAGGCACAGGTCAGCAGTACAGCGCTTGCCTGGCATGCTTAAGGCCCAGGAGTGGAACCCCACCACCCTTCCCACAGTCACACCGGTAACCTGGGTGCTCTGCTCCTGAGCTGCAGGGGTTTGCAGGTGACGGTCAAACCCACATGAAGCAGTAAGTCCCTTACCTGCTTCCCCTCGCGTGCTTTCTGGTCTCTTGCCACTGTGGCTAACACGGTGGCTGCCTGCTCTCCTCCCATCACTGAGATGCGGGCATTTGGCCACATGTAGAGAAACCTTGGACTGGAAGGAAAAAAGAAATCATCAGATTCATGCAGTACAGTTAGGCACGGTGGCAAAAGCCTGTAAACTGATTAAAGTATAAATGAGGGAGTGTGCTGAATGTCATCTGATACTCCAAGCCCTAGATAAACTGATAACTTATTTTGTTTTGTTTGTAAACATGACCCTCTGTAGCCTGAGCTCACCTCAGATTTGCTGTGTAGCAAGGCTGGCTTTGAACTCCCGATTCTCCTTCCTCTACCTGCTAAGAGCTAGGATTACAGGCATGTGCCACCACGGCTGGGATTTACATGACCATCTGTAACTTCATTTGAAACGCATTTCTTTCTTCAAAAAGAAGCTGTGGCCACGACCCACCTGTATGCTCGGCCACACATTCCGTAGTTTCCAGCCCCATACGATCCCCCAATTATGACAGTTATCTTAGGCACTCTGGCACAGGCTACTGCAGCTACCATCTTGGCACCATCCTTGGCAATTCCTTCGGCTTCATAGTCTCTACCAACCATGAATCCTAGGAGAAGAGAAACACAGTCTTGAGCAGTGGATGTACATGCAGAAGTCAATCCCACCAAGGTACTGTCAAATCCTGGCTTAAACTAACTTTATTATAAATCTTCTCATTCAAATAGAATAGTCCCACAGGAAGTGCGTACCCCAAAGTATGCTTCAAAGGACCACAATAAAAGTCTTTCTTCACAGGCTGGAGAGATGGCTCAGAGGTTAAGAGCACTGGTTTCCCTTCCAGAGGTCCTGAGTTCAATTCCCAGCAACCACATGGTGGCTCATAACCATCTATAACAAGATCTGGTGCCCTCTTCTGGCCTGTAAGTATATATGCAAGCAGAACACTGTATCTATAATAAATCTTTAAAAGAAGAATCAAAAAACTCTCTTTATGGTTTGTTTGTTTTTGTTTTTCTCTGTGTAAGTCTTGGAATTCATTCTGTAGACCAGGCTGGCCCCAAACTCTGCCTCCTGAATGCTGGGATTAAAGGCATGAGCCACTACTATCACCAGCTCTCTCTGTTTTAGATGTCCTTAAAATACTTTGTTTCAAGACACACAGATCTTTGAGCAACAGAAGGAAACAATCTGTCTTTGAGAGAGCATCACAAGGCAGAGGCTTGATGGGAAGAGACTGTGACATTGCCACAGGAAAGGTAGCGCCTGGCAAGCCAGCCTGGAAGGTTTCCACGTCCACTGACCTGGTTTAAAATAGGACTCCTCGTTTTGCAGCACTGCCTAAAACTTTGATGAAATAAAGATTAATGTTTCATGGGCATGGTAAGTCCCTGCCAGGGGCTCAACAGCAAGATTTAAAAATAAATGGTTTTCTTTATAATTACAGGATTTCTCTGTTTCTTCAAGCCCCAACTCTGAGGAACTTGTTCTTCTACTGTAACATGCCTTCTATGACAGGGGCATACCCTTCTCTTATTTGAGAACTATGAAGTCAGGTTTCAGTTCTCTGTTCCCACCTGAGGCTCTGGGGGAGGCATTTCTTTCCCCTGCATATGTAGACTAGCTTGTCTGACTGACTCTGCTCTTGGTTGGCAAATCTCCAATACTATGTCATCCAATTCAGTCCAGCAATCCTGTGGAGGAGCTGGATGTGCTGGGACACTGAGGGACTATACCAGGACCCTTGCCTTTGCTGGTGAGGTCTGACACTCTAGCCACCTTTAGAAGCCAGTCTTCAGAGCATTTCAGAATCAGAACTGCTTTAGCCAATGCATCTGACTCTCCAGAATATTCTATCATAGCTGCCCCCAAGGATCAGCTCTTCTCAAGCCCTCACCTGACCTACTCTACAGACAATGCGCCTCCAAAAGAAAAGAAGCCACTTCCTCTGGTTTTCTCAAGTCCTCTTCCCTACCATACACACACACACACACACAGACACACAGACACACACACACACACACACACACACACACACACAGAGAGAGAGAGAGAGAGAGAGAGAGAGAGAGAGAGAGAGAGAGAGAGAACAAACAAACATACAAACACACAAAAAATCCTGTAGTCTTGCTTCCTCTTTCCCTCTACTCTTAACTCTGTAGGAAAAAAACAAAACCAAAATAAAAACCAAAACAGAGTGATAGTATTCTTCCTTGAGAGTTCTTAGTTTCCCTTTTTAAAAAAAAAAAATCTGTTCTCACTTCAAAAAAATGGAGAGGGGGAGGGGGAGACAGCAGAGTGGCTTGAAGACTATCCCGAGCCTTCTCTTCTCCTCAGGTATTTTTCTCTATTCCCACAGCTTTAACCACCTTCTCCTCATTCTGATGAAACTCACACTTTCATCCCCAGCTAAGGTATCTCTCCCAGCCCAAGATTTGCTCAGTGGCATGTCGTACTCCCCACACTAGTGCCTCACAGGTCCCTCATATCCAATGTTGCAAAGCAAAACCCAACCTCTGTCTCCAAAACAGTCTAAATGAAGCAAAATGAGACAAAAATGGAAAAATTGTCTAAGCAAATGTTTAACTTCATAATCGTTGAGTCACAGTCAGAAATGAGGTCCCTAGCATCAGTCAACTTCAGGGACTTTTCCTTCTGTTCTTACACAGGCTACCCTGTATGAACCTCTCAGGTCACTATCTGGAACTAATTCCTCTCAAAAGTCATCAAGGGATGAGGGTGTGGCCAGCGAGAAAGAATTTATCTAGTGTGCTTAAGGCCCTGGGTTCTACTCCTAATACTGGAAAAACAAAACAACAATAACCACACATATACACATACACACACACCCCACATACAACACATATACACACACACACACACACACACACACACACCCCACACACACACACACACATACATACAAACACCATCTAACCAACTTTGAACTTGAACATAACAGAGAATGAATGTGTTTCATTACTATATAAGGTTCTGCTCAAGGTTGAGAGGCCTGGCTGGTCTACATAGTGAGTTTCCTCCTCAGGAAAAACCTGTCTGAGCTCAACAACTACTTAAAAGCCTCTGCTGATAGGTGGGGTGGTGCATGTCTTTAATCCTAGAACACAGAAGGCAGATTTTTGAGAGTTTGGGGCCAGCCCAGTCTAGTTAGTGTGTTCAAGGCCAGCTAAGGCTACACAATGAAACCCAATTTTAAAAAAAAGTCTATCTTCCAAGGAATGGAAGTTTATCGGTAGCCTGAGATATGTATGTACATCAGCACAATACAGTATACAAAACGGTAGAGCAGAAAACATCTGCAGGTACAGCAGGAGACCTTCAAAATCAACCTACTCCTGCTTACGGTTGTCAATGCAATGTTAAGGTCTGAGGCATAATGTTCACACTAGTCACGGGCCATTCTATGGGGCTAAAATGCAAATCCCCAGGCTTCAGTACAAACACACACTTTCAAAATACATTACTTCAAGACTGGGCAGATGGCTTAGTCAGTAAAGGGCTTACCAGGAACTATGAGGGCATGATTTTCACCTCTAGCACTCAAATAGAACACCAGGTAGTATGGCGTACACTTGTACTCCCAGTGCAAGGAAGACAGACAGAAGGATCTTTAGGGGTCACTGGCCAGCCAGTCTAGTCTAATAGATGAGCTCCACCCAGGAAGAGACCCTGTCTCAAAAAACAGTGGACAGCTCAAGGAATGATATCTGAGGTTGGCCACAGGCCTCTAATACACACACACACACACATACACACACACACACACACACACACACCCCAAAGAATAGATAGATAACTGATTGGTATTATTTCAAATAGAATTAACTGTGTAGTAAAGAGATGCTCATAGGATGTGCTTGGAATCATTAGGATTCTGAGACAGTGAGTCGGATACCCTCTCTGACGACGGGAAGAAGGGACGCCCTGCTGCTCCTGGGTGAACGGTAGACGTGAGCAGGAATCAAGAGAAGCCATGTGAAAGTGTGTAATACACGAAGTTCATAGACTGCTTCACTTAGATTATTTTATTCACCTAAAATAACCTGAGACTACTTAGTACTCATGAAGGAAGCTCTCTGCATTAACACAGGAGCTGCAGGGGACAGTGCGGCTCTGGACCGAACACACTAGAACGACGGCCTCACCAGTGATGTTCTGGAGAAACAGCAGGGGGATATTTCTTTGGCAGCACAGCTGGACGAAGTGGGCGCCCTGTAAACACAACATAAAAGCACTTGTTCTTTAAAAAACAAACAAACTCCTACCCAACCCACACTTGCAGGCAGAGTTAAGAGCAGAACCCTTGTCTGGCTAGTCTGACCTTCTGTTTACTATAACAACACTTCAGTGCTGCCCTGTCACCAGGATATAAGTGACGTGAGTCTGCAAGGACTTCCATTACCTTTTTATTCACATTTGCCCAAGTGACTGGCAGGAATCTGCCCTCAATCTGCAGGTCTCCAGTTTAAGAAGAGCAGAACATAAGCCCTCTGTGGTATCAAGGCTGATGTTTACATCTGGGTGACCATTTAAAATTCCTTCAGATCCAATACCATGTTAAAATAGGCATCTTTCTCACTGACACAACTCACATAAAATTTTTAGGTTAGGTCAATGTTAGAGACTTCTGGCCTCGAGGTTAAGGAATTATTTAATAATCTCTCATGTATTCTTTCCCTATCTGATTTTCATCCCCATGTTTGTCTTCTGTTTTTGCAAATCCTTTTACCTCTTTTAGAAAAGTTCTGGCAGACACAACATTGCAAGGTCATCCTCTGTATGACTATGTTTATAGAAAGGAGGAAACCACAGAGACCTTTGGGCCTTATTTCAATAAAGGAAATGTCAGACTGGAGCCAAATATAACTTCTCTAGGGTTTACCTGTGCCAAGACAGCAGACAAACCAGATTGTCTGCTTAGCTCTAGCCTGCTCTGATATTTACTCTACGGGAATGAGCACACTACATACTCATGTGTGTGTGTGTGTTTTAAGCCAGGGTATTTCTATGTAGTCTTGGCTATCATGTAATTCTCTATGTAGACCAGGCTGGCCTCAAACTCACAAACATTCTCCTGCTTCTGCTTCTCAAGTAGTAAAATTAAATTAAAAGCATGTGCCACCACATCCAGAATTATAGAGAGAGACATATGCATGTACATGTATGTGTGTGCATGTGTGTATTCTTTAAGCTGCTATTTTAGGCATATTTAATATCTTTAAAAACACTATAAACTATTAAATGAAAATTGGTAAAACTTCTATATATGGCAAAAAAAAATCATTTTTTAAAAGAAAAAAACCTAAAGAAAACAGTACAGTGCTTTAAGAGTACTAAAGGTCCTTTGTAATATGATTATGGGTATAGCTCAGGCTGGACTTGAACTACCCTGCTATCTCAGCCTCCCAAGTGCTAGCCCTACAGGAGTAAACTACATGTCCAGCTACCATCTATTTCCTTTGAGTTTGTTTTTATTTTATAATTAAGTTGGGAGAACTAAATATGTATAGTAGGATGCAGAAATTAGTTTTATGGCTAAAACATTTCTTTAAGAACAAATATATCCTCAATTAGCCTGAGAGCTTAGCAGTCTGCTCCTCTCTCAGTAAGGGCACTACTCTGTCAACTGAAAAGGAAAGACTGAGGCTTTTTTTTATTACAATATTTTACCAAGGTGCATGAGTTACACATTTCCACAAGTTTAGGTGAATTTGAGACAAAGATATGAAATCAAGTCCTGAGCTCAGAGCACTAGGGACTCCCCCATTCACTGCTGCAACTCCAGTAACAGTGACCTACGATCTGCACATTACCAAAAAAGTAAAAATAATGTTTTTTAAAAGATGACTGGAGAGGTCACATCTCAGAACCACTGACGAAGGATATCAGAACCGCCCCAGCATGGAGGACCTATAGAATGAGACACTCTCAGGGCAAGAATTCCCTGCCTTCTCAGAACACTTCCAGGTAAGCAATTATAATTCCAGCCTCTCATGGGGATCTTCCTAAATCACCCAATAGGCTTTAATAGTGATACACCCAGCTCTGCACACCATGTAAACCACTGTAGAAGCCAGTCTAATACCAGCATGGTGCACAAGCACACATGTGTCGTTCTGCTTCCAACACCATCACTGGCACACAAGCACACACATCGTGTTCTGCTTGCTAAGAGATCCAGGTGATACTACAAAGCTCTCATACAATACATTTTAATCTATTACATGACCTTCAACATTAATTGTGCTAAGCTAGAAAGTCTTAATGCATTTAACAGTACTTGCCTTTTTCGCAGATTCAGAAAACAAAACTCCATTGTTGCCAATGATGCCAACGGGGTACCCAAATATTCGAGCAAATCCTCAAGAGAAAATGAAAAAGAGTTGTAATTTTCAGGGGGCTGCTTGTTTGCAACAGAGGCATGCTGCACATTGTTTAACTTGAGATCAAAATCTCAATTAAAATGTAAATAGAGGTGGTCTATGGAAAAAAAAAAGACCTTGTGTTTTTTAACTCCTAAAGGTACTAGGTTTCTTGTTTGTTCTGTTTATGCTTCTCAAAAGTCCATATTCTATGTAAGGTTTTTCTATATTTACTTAGTTTGATTAAATGATTCATTCAGAATACACACTTAGTACACATGTGAGTGCCCCCCGCAGTGTACCAGAGACCAGGATGTCCTGAAATATTTCTTTTTAAAGTATAAAATATCTCAAACTTGGCTGGAGAATTCCTAGCAACGATGTGGGTCACAACCATCTAAAATGGGGTCTGATGCCCTCTTCTGGCACACAAGTGTACATGTAGATAGAGTGCTCATATATATAATAAATAAACCTTAAAACATATATAAAATTCCAAACTTTAAAGAACATTTTTAAAAAGAATATTCTGATTTTGTCTTTTATCTTTTATCTTTGCCCCAGATGCTATATCTCTATCAACAACAACAGTTTCCAGTAGGACTCCAAGCTCCACACACACACACACACACACACACACACACACACACAAGAAAGGGAAAAGAACACAGCATGCCATTTTGAGAGGCAGATGCTTAAGGTGATTTGCAAAGTAGAAGAACTTGATTATAGAAACATTCTTTCCCCTCTCGACAAGCCTGGTTCCTACCAGAAGCAAGTGCCAAGTCCTCAGAGCCCAAGAACTTACTGGCTATGCCTGGACATTGAGTCAAAGGCTTCTGCCAAAGCCCCCTATCTGGACTTAGCCACTAGGCTCCGGTGCCCAGCTAGGCTGCCCAGTATAAAGCAGGTCCTCTAAACATCACTCAAGGAAAATGAATAGAAAATGTGTCAACATATGGACTGCGTCAGAATGCTGAATTTTCAATGATACACTTTTGTTCTTTACTTCTAGCTTTGTCTGGATTTTATTATTTTTTTGTCATCATTTTTTATATGCGATAGAACACTCTTTGAGGGCCTCATAGGATTCTCTGCGTGTCTCAGACCTAATGTCCCTGCCAGAGGCCTGTGTGTGATGACAACCTAAACGTGTTGACCCTTTAGAAGCTGCTGAAGAGGGAAGGCTTCCAGGAGGGCTGGAAGTGATGCATCCTCAGTCCTGCCCTACCCACGAGCGGACGGAAATCTCGCACATGATGCTAACCACTTTTTAACCACTTACAGTTCAGCCCTCCCAACGTCCTGTGGGGGTGGGAGTGAGCAGGCAGGGGCAGGAGTGGGCGTCGAGGCACAGACAGACAGGCCGAGTAGGGCACATGCTCTTATTGTGCCAGTCTCTCAATCAAGAAAGGACCTTTACTAATTACCTGACCCAAACAGAAAGGCAGTATGTCATAGAAATCTCCTAGGCTTACATGTAAGTGTGCAGAAGAAACTGTAAGGAGCTTACAGAAACACCCAAGCCTCTGACACCCAGCTCCACTCTCCTTTCTCATCTCTCTTCTCTCTCCTATTCACCTATCCCTCCTCTCACCCCAGCCTTACATGAATTCTGGTACAATGAAGAAAAGATGGGGGAACCAGCTGTGTCCCCGATGCAAGGACACAAGAGTGCCACGATCTTTTAGCAGGTACCAGGCAAACACTTAGAAGGAGGAAACAGTGACAGCTCATTCATCTTAGAGGGAACAGTCTCTCTGGATTGTTTTAAACCGCTACACAATGAGGGCTACATCCTGCACTGCTGGCAGACAAATCCTGCCTATATATCAAACAAACAGCTCTTAATCACTTAAACACCCAAAGAGAAAACCACAAATTCCCCTTCCAGCATGAACCGTCCTCTCGCTCATACATTGAGCTAGGAGGAATTGCCAAGATCCAGTCCTAAGCCTCCACTGACAGCTGCAATGTGGATTGTTGTAGCTTCTCTTCCCCTGTTCTGTTAAGTTTTATTCAGGATAAATAGTGTATTTTCAGGCTTTTTACAGTCTAATAAAATTTACAAAATTTGTTCTGCCATTATCTACTGGTGGGTTACTATGAGTCTAGCATCTGTTTGAAATGGTTTCTTTCAGAAACTGACAATGACAACACTTTAGATACACACTGTTTTCCCTGACATGGCATACTGTCGTGAATTTTCAATTTGGTGTTTGAATGCATCCCTTAAGAGGGGCCTGGTGAGATGTCTCTGAGGTCAAGAACATTTGCTGCTCTTACAGAAGACATGGGTTCAATCCCCAGCACCCACATTAGGTGGCTCAGAATTGCCTGAAACTCCAGTTCCAGCGTGTCCAATGCTGTAGTGCAGCCTCCAAGGTCACTAGGCACATATGAAGGCATACACTCATACACATAAAAAACAAACAAACCTTAGGAAACAAAAATATCTACAGAGAGGCTCTGGGAAGACTCAACTCACTCAACAGCCTCCTGTGAAGCTGCACATTCTGTGTAACTGGATGAACTGGACCTACACGAGGGGACAGGCTGAAGTCTTGAAAAGAATTGCTACCCAGAGAACAAAAAGCATTGCAAATACTCTCTGCTCCTGTCACATCAAGGCCACAAGGTCACAGGTAAGAGTCTACGCCATAGCATCAGGCTGTCGTCATTTTAAGCTCTTTGGATCCAGGAAACCATTTGGGTACAAACCATTTTCATAAAACAGTGACATCCGACAGCTGACTCACACACTTATGCCTCTCTGGATTACAAAGCTCCTGGCGTGAGCTTTGTGGCAAGTGACGACTTATTTCCAAAAGCAACAGAAAATGTTCGTGTTTTCAACTCTTCACTTTTGTACCTGTAACTAGCGTGTCTCCATATAAGGCCTTGAACTCATTGAATCTGCTTCCATCCACGATTCTAGCGATGACCTAAGAGGAAAAATAACAACACTCCTGAGAAATGACATCACAAAAGCATGTCTGCAGTGACTAAAGTGATTTAAAAGGAAGGCAAGTCACAGCGATGTCACCTTCCATCTCATGCTACACAGAAAAGCTCTTCAGAATTTCCCTTGACATGCACATGGTTCAGTGCCCGGAGTCATCCCATGCTGTGATGTTTAGGATATACATAAACATATGTAGGCAACCACGCATACACATAAAAAATAAATAAGCCTTAGGAAACAAAAATTATCTACATGGAGGCTGTGGGAAGACTCAACTCACTCAACAGCCTGCTGTGAAATTATACATTCCGGAGAACTCTGGATGAACTGGGGCCAAACAAGGAGACAAGGCTAAAAAGTCGTGAAAATGGCTGCACACAGGAGAAGCAGCAGAAAATCTGAGGCTGGTAGCTAAGTCAGAGCTCCAGGGGTCTGTTCAGTGCCTTTTCAGGGCTTCAAAGAATTGATGAAAATCTAAAGCCCCACTGAGGGCTTGGAGTGAGGAACGCTGGAATGACTTGTTGGTGACCCGATGTGTCAGGGTAAGTCACTTCTTAGAAAACACTGTCATTTACTCCATGACACTGCAAAGGTGAAGAAGGGGTTCTGACAGCTGGGAAACAGATGAACTGGAAGGAGAGGAGTGTGTAAATGATGCTGAGAGAAACAACTGGCTTCAACTGCGGCTCTACCACAGGGACACTCATCACAAGACCCTTAAAGCCCTGGGGACGCAGCTTAATGGCAGAGATCTTGGTGAGCATGTGTGAAGCCTTGGGTTCCATCTCCAGCACTGCCTCCCTCCCACAAACAGTCCAAAAAAGTTCTCTAAGCCTGTTTGTGACCCCATCTTCAATAGAGGATAACACTTAGAAAGTACTAACTAAAGCACATGGTCTCTGAATAAAAAGTAGCTATTATTACTGTTAAGCCTCAATAAATATTCATTAAGTCTCAGTAAGAGCCAGCTGAGAGACTGGCTACATATATTGTTCATGTAAAAGGAATGGAGACTTTTAGAGAGTTTATCCTTGAGTTTCCATCACATAAGTCTTTCAGTAGAGCGCATGCTCAGCACACTTGAGGACCCGACTCCAATCCTAGGAGCAAGCGAGCAGACTGCTACACATGAAGTCTGTTCTGTGCTTTTATGGACTCATTTGAGATGGTGCATATGACTCCATGACACACATGCTCCCTTAGCTGAAAAATAAGGGGCTCATCCCAGCATCTCTCCTTACAGAAAATGAAAGCTTACTTTAAATTAGATTTTAGTTATTTTCCTAAATATGGGGGCAGAACAATTTTTTGGTCTGGCAGACCTTGTAAAGGGAACCTTTTGACAAACAATCAGCACATCACAGCTTCAGTCTTCTACATGAAGGTGAAGCGCCCCAGAGGCCCCAGAAATCCAGGGCCACTTTGTATAAAACAACCTCAGACTGGCTTTATAATTATATACATACACACTCTTATACATAAAGTATATTAGTTACCTTCAGAAGAACTCAAACTTCAGAAATGGGCAAGTAATAGGATAATATTCTAGCAGCAGAAGCCAGTGCCCAGAAAGGCTGGGTCACCACTGCACCTGACTGAAAGAATAAGCCCCAGAGGCTGGGTTTTACAGTATCACAACAGCTGTGTGTGCTACAGAGGCCTCTCTGTGAGGCTTATTTATTATAGGAAAGAAAAATGGAAACATTGTAATAAATGACCAGCAAGAAGCGGCAAAGGCTAGGTTTCCATTAAAGTGCAGTGAGAAGCATGCAAAGGCAGGGACTGGTGTCTGCTGGTTCTCTATCTCTGATGCTCAGAACTTTGTACTCAGTAAATGCTGCCGGCTAAGTGAAGTACTGGCTATTCTAGAAGAGGATTCTCAGCCATCTCAGGAGATCATGAACACCATGTTTTCTGTCTATACTTAATTAAAAAGTAATTCTAAACTTTGTAGCTGAGTCACATTGCTAAAGTAGAATTCCTATAAAATCTAAGATTTAACAGTAGTAACAAAGTATTGCTTAAATATCTGGAGGCATCTCTACAGTGTGCAACAACACCTCACCAATTCACACAAAAACAAAACAAAAAACAAAAAAAAAAGTCTGCCGACCATGTTGCCAGACACCCCTTTGAGAATTTGAGAGCTAGCCATAGAGAAATGGTTCCTGAAGAGATTTTTAAGGATAAGAACTACCATATGTACTTTATACCAGAAAAAGTACAATTTTTAAAAACTTACATACATGGGGGGAGAGGATTAAACATGTATATACATACATATATCAAAAGTACATTATTATGTATTAGAAATACATTAGTGTGTGTGTGTCTGTGTGCGTGCATACAGCCATCCCTCATCCATGAGGACTTGTTTTGTTTCATATCCAAATCCGTAAATGTTGAAGTCCCTTGCACAGAATGCCTTAATACCTGCAGATCATTTACACATACTCCTTTAAACTTTCAGTCATCTCTAGATTACTTACAATAAGCATCAGAAGATAAATGCTCCACGTGAACAGCTGGCATACTATGCTGTTTAGGGAATAATGATAAGAAAAAAAAAATCTATACACGATCAGTACAGAAATATACCCTTTTCAAGGAGTTTGGAGCTGTGGTTGATGGAATCCATGTACACAGAATCCCCAGATATGGAGAGCCAACTATATACACAGATTAAGCCAAAAATATCAAGATATTAGCTGTTTTTCTTTCTGAATGAGAGAATAGGCAATTTTATTTTATTTTCTGTGATCTTTCCCCACTGCAACCCCCACAGCCAATACAAGATAGTCTTATAGTCAAGAGGGAAAGTAGCTTAGGATATCAAAGCCTCCAGCAAAGAATCTCATTAAGATGATTTCCTAACTTAAAATGTATTCTGCCAGCTATAGAGAACTGAAGAAAATCAAAGCCTACATACTCTAAGCAAACACTGAAAACTGTCACTCTAGCTTCCAGAAGGCTATGTCACAATCTGTAACCATAGCAACACCTTCAACTATAATTGTCTACTCTCTGCTAATGTCATACTGATCTAAAAAGGTATGTTTTTTTCTTCCAACAACTTAATGACATTTTGTCTATTTGGCGAAACGAGAGCACTGAGAGAAAATAGCTGAAAATGCTGTGACTGTCCTTGGTCATTCTTGCTGCTTACAAACCAAGTTTCCTCATGGCACAGTGAAAACTTCCCAATCACTGAGAGCCTTTCCTCATTTGCTGCTTACTGTAGACCAGCAACACCAGGTGCACCAGCCAGGACAGCGCTCCTGGATGTGACCACTCCTTACTAAGACCCACAGTTGCCCCCCTGCATGAACAGAAACTTTAGGGGTGGCAGCTTGACTCATGGGTTGGGTCCACCTCCCACATACCTCTCGGACATCAAAGCTTCTCTTAAGGTTCGCACCAACTATTCCATACAGTTCATCTGCGGGGAACAAGGGTTCTTCAGAAGGCTCAACGGTAACCTATGGAAATGTAGGACAAATGCACTGTGTTTAAGGTCAGGACTCGGCACAGGACAAAGTGCTCCACAGGAAAATGAAAGACAGAAAGGTTCCTACTCACATCCAGTTTCTTCTGATAATTGAGACTCCTCACAACCTTCCTTGTTAAGTGAAGGGCGTGGTGGTCGTCCAAAGCATAGTGGTCAGTGACCCCAGACTTTCTGCAGAGCAAAGCACACTCTAATAATCAGAACCTGGAAAAGGAGAGTAATTAAATATCATAAGTCCTAAATACCCTCCCTGACCTGAGGATGATGACACCTTTGCTTCCTTAATAGATGCTATCTCATTTTCATAGTGTCCCTGGCAAAAGAGCATCCTCCTTACAAAGTGCATCATCCTCATGAACCATCCTCCTTACAAAGTGCATCATCCTCATGAACCATCCTCCTTACAAAGAGCATCGTCCTTACAAAGAGCATCCTCCTTACAAAAAGCATCCTCCTTACGAACTATCATCTTATAAAGAGAGGAAAGCCAGAGGCACAGAGACTAAGACCAGCAGCTGCTGCATCGGAGCTCACATCTTCGATTTCTCACCCTGACCTGAAGGCTACAGGGCTTGCTCATAGGACTTCTATTAAGATCCATCCTGTGTACCTTAAACAGTATCATGTGTCAGACCCAACCACATCCGGCATGTGTTGACAGCGTAGTTACACGACACAGCAGTAGCCAGCTGAGGCTTTGGTGTAGACTCCCACAGTGGTCTCTCCTCTCTCAGACTGCTGAGCTGCCTTCCTTCCAAGTCCTATGTGGCTCTCACTTGTAGTTAACAAAAGGGCTCAGACAACAGATAAGAATGGGATGCAGCGACACTGTGGTGAAAGCCGTGGGAGTTCTCAGTCACTCACATGAGGAATAAGCTTGGCTCTAGGGATCAGTTCTGTCCTAAGCAGTGGCTTGCTATTTCAGATACAAGTTTACTAGGGCTTGCTCGCTCTCTCAGCTGATTCTCCAGCACCATGTCTGCCTGCGCATTCCCCACCATGACGATGATGGATCAAACCTTCAAAACTGTAAGGCGGCCCCAATGAAATGCTTTCCTTTATAAGAGTTGCCATGGTCATGCCTCTCCATAGCAACAAAATCAAACTAAGACAGTATGGGGAAACCATTACAAACAGTTTGGATAATTTGTCTAGGGACTCTGTCCAACGTTTGAAAGTTGTTCTGGTGTTCTAAACAAGAACAGAGACCATATTTACTTCTCCAGAGCACACATGGCAGTCCCTCCAGCTCCTAAGTATATTTGACAGCCCAAATTAGCTCAAAGTGCCTCACACACAATGGAGGCTGTAGCTATGGACTCCTAGTTGCACTGTGATTCAGTAGAAATGGAAGCAGAAAGGAGATTCTGAGTCAACATTAGATTCAATGCTTTCCTATGAAAGATGCAAAAATTTGCCATAACAGGAAAGAGAAATCTTGGATGAGACACTATGTAAATCTTTGTTTAAAATGAACTCTTAATGATGACTAAGCAGGTATAAACATATATTGAAAGGACAGAGAACCCAAAGAATTTGTTTCTTTTTTAATTGAAACAGGCAATCTTCCTTAGCCTCCTCAGTGCTGGGATTATGGATGGGCCCAGCTTTAACATTGTTTAGTTTTGTGGATTTTACTTACTCATTATTATTATTAGTGTGTGTGTGTGTGTGTGTGTGTGTGTGTATGTGTGTGTTGTGAGGTGTGTGGTGTAGTGTGTTTGTATGTATATGATGTTTGTCTGTGTGATGTGCGTGTGTGGTGTGTGTGGTATATGTGTATGTGGTGTTTGTGTGTGTATATGTGTGTGGTGTGGTATATGTGTGTGTTTGTGTGTATGTGTGGTATAATGTGTTTGTGTGTGTGTGGTGGTGTGTGTATACAAGAACACTCATGCTGAAGTCCCAAAGCCAAGGTCAGAGAAGAACTTCCGGGAGTCAGCTCTCTCTCCACTAGCTCTCCCGGTCTAGAACTGTGGTTGTCCAGCTTTCAAGGCAAGCTCTTCAACCTTATTTTTTCAAAAAGCCATCAACACCTTACTATTTCCCCATGACTGCCAACAGATCTCCACAGACCACAGGAATGCTAACAGAATATTTGATGAGCACTAACGAGGAGGGCTCTATCCCAATTCTCTCCTTACACGGCAGCAGAAGGGCCTCAAAGACGTTCATCACCTCTGCCATGTCACAAGGGCAATCAGGGAGACAAGTAGAAGCTAAATTCCAGAGTTCCCTATACTGAATTTGATAGACTACCTATAGCTTCATCCTTTAATAAAGAAAGAGAAAGAAAAATTAATATTCCCCAAATACTATCTTCCTTTCTTTCTCCTGATTGATTCAGTCAGCTAGTTGGTGGTAGCACATGCCTTTGATCCCAACACTCAGGAAGCAGAGGCAGGTGTATCTCTGAGTTCAAGGCCAGCCTGGTTTACAGAAACAAAACAAAACAAAAAAACCGAAAACAAAAAACTGAAAACAAAAACCCAAAACAGCAAAAAGTAAGTCCAATACAATAATCGACTCTGACCCCCAATAAGTACTGAATGTGAGGAATGAGGGAACGGCTGAGATGATGGTCTCTTAAGCTAGTCAAAAGGCATGGCCTTTGTAGAAAAGAATCCATCCTTTCTCCTACCATAGTCACTGGGCTCCTTGGGGTTAGGATGAAACAGAACAGAGGACTTCTCATAGCTGACTGATGGTCAGGTCTACCTGCCCTTTAGGACACAGTCCTGAGTCCCTGTATGGTTTCATGGTAAGGTGAACTGTCCGGTCTGAATTAAGTGCCACCTTTTAATTAGGCAGATGCTTCCTAACAAGATCCTGCCCTCACAGTCAAATGTCTGCCAAACAATCTCTCAAACACCTTTAACGTCTCAGGCCTACAGAAATGCCTGGCTCCTGCTCCAGCTTCAAATCTGCTCCCCACCCCATGCCATTGTCTCAAATATCCGGGGATGAAGTCATTTCTTGTCATCTTTATCGTCTTCTCCTGTATCCTTCATAGGTAATCTATCAAGTCCCTCAATTCCACCTGGACAGTAGATCATGGCTGATAGATAACAAGCATTCAAGTGAGGTTTGTTAGATCAGTGAGAAACTGCCTCAGGCCTCAGTGAGCAGTGAGGTGCTGTGCTTGCTTTGGCAACATGTATACTACAATTGGAAGGATAGAGAAAAGATTAGCTCAGCTCCTGTGCTGACACTGACTCAGAGGATAAAGGCGCTTTCTCTGAGCCTAACAACCTGAATTAATTCCCAGAATCTACATGGTAAGATGTGTGTGTGGGTCTAGGGAGAGGCTTGACTCTCAAAAGCTATGCTCTGACCTCCACATGTCATCATGGCATATGCACATTCACAAACATGAGTGCATCCATGTCTGCCTGTACACAAACACAGACTAAGGGTTGTTTGTTTGATCTTAAGCGGCTAACACTCACTGGTGAAACACAGTTCTACAATCCAGAGAACTGAACCCAGAGCAGCTGACTGGAAAACAAACTATGGTTTGATCTGGCAAGAAAAGCAGAGAGGAAACAATGTAAAACTTCCTTTAAACAAACACAATGGCCATTGACCCTAAAAGGAAACAACTGCTCTTGCTTTACCTGCAATGCAGGTCAGCGCCTCCGAGATCCTCAGCAGATACTTCTTCGCCAGTAGCTGCCTTCACCTACAAGGATGAAAGCCAAGGTGAGACTGGTCCATGGATAACACTAACAAGCATATTGCTTAAGCTGACCACATCTACAATCTTCCTTCACAGAGCTGAAGTCCACTGCGCTTTCCTATCCCACCTCCAGGCAAAGCGAGAGATTGTTATCCCCAGTCTACAGAAGGGAAACCTAAACCCAGACTCACTGAGAGCTGACTACAGCTCCTGTACAAATGATGGAGTCTGGAAACGCACTCTCCTCTTCAGGATGATACTGCCCAGCACACCTCAAACCTGCTGTGAACCGTCATCTCTTACTGTCTGAGATCCCTCTTCTTTCACCTACCTGGTGAGCTCCCTCTTGGCCTGCAGGAGTCCTCATGGTGATGACACCCTGTGGTATTAACCATGTAATGCTGGCCTAGCTAAGGTTCCAAGAAGAGAATCCCACTTACACATCTACATGCTACCTTCTGGACTGCATTTCAGCACTCTTTATATACTTCTGTTATCAGCTCTATGCTGTGGGATCCTTGGGAGATTCATCCATCTTCAAATATTTAATAACCAGAGCTATAAAACCCAGTTATTTTATCTTTAAAGTGGGAAAAAAAATCACCTACATAAGTTACCCAAATCTAAGATCTGACAGAATGGAGCCAAGAAAAGGAAGAAAACAAGCAGCAAACCAAGAATGACTTAACTATAGCTCAAGAAACTATAACAAGAAAATGAAAGAAAAGTCATTTAGAACTAAATTCCAACCTCATCTGGTAGAAACTGTTGATTCCTACTTACTGGGCTGACTAATTTGTTTCTTGAGATAAAAATAAAAAGATTTTATTAAAATAGCGAGAGTTAGCCTAAGATACAGCCCAGGGACAGCTATTCTTCACTGTATCAAAGGCTCTGTATTAAATAAAATATCTTTCCACAGAGAGAGGCAATTAAAATTTTCACCTCCAATTATCCCACCCTCAGAAGTTAATTATTGGTTCTCTTTCCAAAAAAAAAAAAAAAATCAGTGCAAAAAGGCTTTCAGTCCAAACAATAACTAATTATAAGAGGTGTCTGAATATTTAAAGTCATAGAAAGAGATAAACAACAGATATACTATATTTATTCTCAGGAATCTGACTAATTTCCACTGGGGAAAAATAGGGTTGTCATCAGTTAGTATTGGTTGAACGCCCACAACAGGCTTGATGCTGTGACAAGTTCAGTGACACAAATCAGAAACAATAAAGGGGGTTCATTCTAGTAAACAGAAGTTGGGGCAGTAAAGGAGCCAGGAGAACAGAAAGCTCCCCCAAACCCTCTTCTTAGTCATTTGCTTCAACCAACTAAGCTACTTCAACTAACAGCGCCTGAACCCCATCCTTCAAAGCCTCCCCCCAGCTGCCTACAAACAAGTGTCAGGATATGGAATTCTCAGTACATGGTGCTTCAGACTCCTCCTCCCCTAGTCATTGGTCTCACATGGACCACTGACAGAGGTTCAGAGCTGAAGAACTCCAGGCTTCCATGACAACCGCATCAAGTTAAATCTGAGTCCACAGGAAGACCTCAATGCACCCTGCTAAAACACTGGGTGTTGCACCAGCACTAACTACATGCCATGAACCCTCCCAGTAGAAGTTTTCAAACGTCACTCAGACCTTTCCTTGTAAAGGTTTGTACCCCTCACCATGCAAAGGTCAATGTCAAGTACACTTTCCTCTCGTGAGCCAAGGGGAGCTATCAGGAACAGCATGGGAAATGGTAACAGGTAAGAAAACTAACATTTGAAATAATATTGGAGTGTTACCACAGTTAAAGTGTCAGCTCCTTCTGGTCTACCTTATCTTCCACGACTGTTATTAGAAACCACATAGGAGAATACTTACTTTGCATGAAAATGAGTTCTTACTAGTAACTGGCATGCCTTGGGGCCCACCATTGTAAACCATACATTTCAAAGGCTTTTTGTGTAATCATGAGATTATGCAGCAATCTCCACTACCTAATTCCAGAACATTCCATCACTCTCAGAAGAAGCTCTGTTCAGCAGTGGCCATTCCCCCTTCCTCCCTCTCCCTAGACCTTGACAGCCACATTCTACTTTCTATTCCATGAAATTGGCACCTTTAAATATTTATAAAAGTGACATCACAGTTTTTTGTGTGTCTCACATATTTCCCATTTATGCTATGAAGACCTATGTCTGAATAATTTTTTATTGCATGTATGTTATAGTTGTATAATTCCTTGGACTTTCTACTAACTATTAGATATCCTTGGGTTTCTCTGTACATGGTATATTCTGTAGTAAGGCACATGATTTCCTGCTTTGAGATCTAGGACCATGATGTTAGCATGTTAACACAGCAAATGCATTACTGAGAACCTCTACCATAGAGTCAGCCAAAGGGAAGGGAAGACTAGTGAGCTACACACAGTTCTCAGAAGGACTCCAGGCTTAGAGTTTAATTCTATGTGGCTACCCTACTGATATCTGTGTCTGTGTGTGTGCAATGAGTATTCAGGTGTGCATGTATGTGTGTGCACATGCATATGAGGTCAGAGTTCAAACTCAAGTATCATTCCTTAGGAGACATCCGCTTTGGTTTTGGAGACAGGGTCTCTCAGTGGGGCCTGGAGTTCACCGATCAGCCTTAGTCTGGTTGGCAAGCACCCTGGGATCCTTGGGTCTCTGCCTTTCCAACATTTGGGAAATGCTACACATGATACCCCACACTTTCTATGTGAGTGTCAGGGTTGAAACACACGTCCTTGCACTTATGTAGTGAGAACCTTACCAATGCAATATCCCCCAAACACATAAAATTCTTAATCTTTGAACCAGGACTAGTGGCATACGTCTGTTGTCCAAGCACTTGAAAGATGGAAGCAGAAGGACCTCTTGAAATAAGTAATCTGACTTCAAACTACTTTGAATTCATATTTCATATTCTCTCCCTCCCTCCTTTCCTCTCCACTCCTCTCGTGTGTGTGTGTGTGTGTGTGTGTGTGTATGATGAATATTGATACATGCTAAGCACATAGTCTACCACTAAGCCATACCCCAGCTTAATCTGAATTGCTAGCTGCTTTTGTCAATATTTCGGCACCTATTCATTGCACAGTGATAGTATTTTCACTCAAGTGTATCATGTACTTTGATTCTATTTACTCCTCACTACCCTTTCCTGACTCTCTCCTTCCTAATTCTCTTCCTCTTCTCAAATACCCTATACTCCACCTTCTTGCTCTCATGTCATATATATTTCAATTTGATGCAGGTGCTAGGGAACTGAATTCAGGCTCCCATGCTTGCATAGTAAGATCTGTCTGTATCCACTGAGCCATCTCCCCAACCCTGCTGAACAAAACTGTACTACATACACATGCGTGCACACACATACATACATACACACACACACACACACACACACACACACACACACACACCACACTGCTTTCTTTATCCATCTTTCTGTAGATGACATCTGGGCTGATTCCATCACTCAGCTATTGTGAATGCTGCTGTGATAAACACAGTATCGAGGTAGGTACCCTGGAGCATGCTTACTTAGAGCCATTTGACTATATTCCTAGCAGCAGAACACTGGATAATTCTGAGTCAGGGTCTATCTAGCCCATATTGGTCTCAAACTCAACACCCTCCTGTAGGAGGAGCTAAGGTGGGAGGAGTTAGGAGAGGAAGAGGAGGAGTGGGAAGAAGAAAAGTAGAAGGAAGAGAAGGAGCTAGGAGACAGGAGAGGAGAATGAGAGAAGGGAAAATGGAGGCGGATGTTCATGTGTCTCCTGCTGTCAAATTTAGTTGGTATATCTAGGTTGGGTATTGAGTTACACCTCTGATTGAGTGGGCATCTTGTTATTAATCATATAACCAAACATATAAAGCCTTTGATTAATCTATAAGAATTAGAATCTCATTCTCTTACTGGGCCTGCATGGATGGCGGAATGGTTTGGGCAATGCCCAGCCTTGCGGAGACAGTGTGGAAGATTGGCAGGGCCATCTCTCATGCTGGTGTCTCGTGGGTGGCAGGGCTGGTGTTTCTGGTGGGCCAGTTCTAGAAGCTGCGCACACGGCCTCTGGCTGAGAAACATGGCGGCTGAGCTAGGCAGAGCCGCTGCAGCTTAAATAGCCAGCTTAACCAGAGGCCACATTAAATAATTCCAACAACACCCTCCTGCTTCTGACTCCCAATGCTAGACCTACTAGAGCATTATCACCATACCTGGCTGAATTCTTAATCTCTGAAATGCCCTATCTTTGAATATGAGCTTTTAAAATGATGTCGAAGGGAACTACTACTGAATACATCCTTAGGGCTTTGGCACCTCAGCCATTTCCTGGTCTGTCTCCTACAACCTCTCAGTCTTCTACTAATGTGTGTATGACCCAGGCCTTTGCCTAATACCTCCTACCCAGCCATAGCTAGCAACTGTTAGTACACATGCTTTCAGGTGGAACACAGCTAGCACAGGGATGGTTTCCAGTCAGGGTGGAGCAAAGAAAGGCTGGCCTTGTCTCGGGGTGGTACTGTGAGGCATGTGCTCCAGCTGAGGACACAGGGAAGCAGGGGCTGGAAACCAGCCTCCTGTCCTTCCAGATCTGAGTGCCAAGCACACCCTGGCATAGAAGATATGTGCTTGTAGGAATTTTATGTTTGGTATGGGGCCATTGCATCTGGCTTGTTTTTGTTTTGTTTTTATGAAAAAAAAAACCTTTTTTAACAGGGTGGGGGGAAATTGAATCAAGGTCTCCTGTAGCCTAGGCTAGCCTTGCTCTATAGCTAAGAACGACCTTGATCTTCTGACCCTCCTACCTCTACTTTCTAAATACTAGGAGTATAGTTGTGTGTCATGACATCCAGCTTAAAAATGACCTTCTAGAATGAGCCAGGCATGCAATAGTCTCAAACAAATGAAAATATTTCTCACATCACGTTTCTTCTACTATATATTTAGCATCTTTTCCAGAATTTCATCATGTACATGAAAGCATACAAATGTATACTTCTGAATATCTTACCCAAAAGTAGTACAGTACAGATAAGCCAGTCAAATTCTTAAGAGTCAAAAAAGAGAATGGTGAGGCCAGATATGGCACACATTAATCCAAGCAGAAACAGATTGATCTCTGGGAGTTCAAGACCTGCCTGGTCTACATAGTGAGTTCTAGGCTAGCCAGGGTTACACATTGTGTCCCTATCTCAAAGAGAAATAGCGGGGGAAAGAAACATTAGGAAGCATTTAATGGGTTTATGTTGCAGGGAAAAAAAAACCTTCTAGAGCTAGATATAGCAACAGCTGCATGATAATGCAAATATGTTTAATGTGAACAATTAAGATTTATACACAGTAAATTTATGTGACGCATTATACTTACCATATTTCTAAAGGATATGATAGTTTATGTGTTGTATAATTAACTTCAATAAATCAATAATCAATCAACCAAGATTCTTATATTCTTACCAAGGGTGGTCCAGCCAAGAAGATGGTACCCTGCTTTTGTACAATGATGTTTTCATCAGCCATTGCAGGCACATATGCACCTCCTGCTGTACAGGAGCCCATGACCACAGCTATCTGCAAGGGAGACACAGACAAGCCATGAGACGAGACCCTAACAGTGTAGAGCGTGGCACGGGCAGAACATCCCCACAAACACTGCAGTGCCTAGATGCTTCTAACAGCTGATCCCTGAACTTCATTTTAGAAATGGAGTCCTGAGATGGTTCTTATTATAGCCTAGCCTAGCCTAGAACTCACAATCCTCTCATCTTCTGAATAATGAGACTCCAGGCACACACCACTCACCCCCAGTGCCCAACTAGTATAATGTCTTTTTTTAATTTATGTGTGTGTGTGCCTCTCTCTCTCTCTCTCTCTCTCTCTCTCTCTCTCTCTCTCTCTCTC